CGGGAGTATATGTTTATGTCGTCTAAATAAACGACTGCGAACTTTCCTAGATATTCTCGTAATATGGTGTCCATTAGCCTTTGGAACGTTCCTGGTGCGTTACAGAGGCCAAATGGCATTACATTAAATTCGTATAAACCATATTTAGTAATAAAGGCGGTTTTTTCTTTATCTTTTTCGTTTATTCCTACTTGCCAGTACCCACTTATTAAATCTAGCGTGGAAAACCATAATGCATTTCCGAAGGTGTTATGAAGGTCTGTTATGTGGGGTAAAGGGTATGAATCTCTTTTGGTTACCGGGTTTAACTTACAGTAATCTATGCAAAATCGTAGCTTGCCACCCTTTTTCGGTACTATCACTACTGGTGAAGCCCAAGGGCTATATGACCTTCTTATTAAATTTCCCCTTTTTAATTTATTAATCTCAGATTCTACAAACTCATTCTCATCATGAGATATTCTGTAGGGTCTTTGTTTTACTGCTGTCGCGTCTTCTGTATTTATAGCATGCGTAATAACACTTGTTTTTCCTAGATCGTCTACATTTTTAGCAAACAATGCCTTTTCTTTTATCAGGAATTCTTTCGCTTGACGTTGTTGTTCTAGGGTCATCAAGTCGATGTTTATGAATTCCTGGATTCTTTCTATTACCGACTTTCCTTCTGTTTCGTTAAGTGGGGGTTCGTTTATATCGGTAAGGAATAGTGCTGGGTTTTCTTCGCTTTCTCTTTCTTGACCTAATTGCTGGTTATCTACCTCTGACCATTCATCTGTAAAATACCTGTCTATTTCCTCCAGATTGTCCTCTTCATAGTCAAACTCATCAAATGTATCACCTCCATCACTATCATATTCCTGTTTTCCATAACTTGGTGTAAGTGTTTCGATGCCTGTATTGGAGATTGGGATTTCTACTGCTTTTTCGTCATTCGATATACGCAACTTTTGACTATCGAAATATAGTTGGGCGTTGGCTTTTTGGAACCAATCGGTTTCTAATAATAGGGTTTCTTCTGGGAATTCTATTATTTGTAAGAAAATTGGTACCCTCACGTCTTGAATTGTTATTTCAACGTCCTTTACCCTACCCAGAGTCTTTGCACGTGCACTGGTTGCCATTATTACCGTGGTTATTGAATTATCATTAATTTCTAACCCTAATTTATGCCTTAGTTTACTAGACATAATGCTTATGGCTGCACCTGAGTCTAGAACCGCTATTACCGGATTATTATGGATTCTTACATAGCATCGAGCTGCGGTGGTTCTTCGCGTTGTCTCTGAATTTAATAAGTTTGCCTCGTGTGGGGGTAATGGTCGTCTTAATATGCCAGCTAAGTTCTTTCTTTGGTTTGGGTATTGTAGTAATTGTCCTAAGGTTGCACTTACTGGTAAAGATAATATATCATTTGTGACATTATA